CTGGATGGTTCTTTGACGCTTCCATGTACAAATATGATTGAAGGGTAAAAGGCGTAGGGGTATTTTTTTAACTATCTCAAAACCATATCTTAACATAAATCATTATCGTTGTATATTTTGGATACAGATTTACGAGATTAGTATTTTAAGGTACTTAATGCGACAATACCTTCCAAAGTCACGTGATCAGTTATTGTTATATAATGAAGCTTTATTTTGGATGACAGATGCTTTCCAGAAGTCCTTAATTGAATGTAGTTTGATGTTGATTTAACCTTAATTACGTAACAATACAATTAAGAGCTCAATTCTGAGTACAAGTTCACCAGTCATTGCTTCAACTGTGCCGTGCATAAACCTTGTACTCTGAAGGAGTGAAAGGGCGCTAAGCATCTTAAACTAGGCAGTATCCAACACATGTTTTATATAATTGAATTATTGAGAGAGTATATGGAGCTTCAGTATGTTTACTAACCGAATGAGTTTAATGAACTCGAACTTATAAAACGCATAAGCATCTTAAACTAGGCAGTATCCAACACATGTTTTATATAATTGAATTATTGAGAGAGTATATGGAGCTTCAGTATGTTTACTAACCGAATGAGTTTAATGAACTCGAACTTATAAAACATTTGACAGAAAATAGGACTCATAGGTTTATGGGGTAACGTATATTCATTGTCGAATTAATCATAAAACTATACGATCATTATCATCATAAGCCTATTAATGTCCCCACTGCTGTGGCACAAGCCTTCCGACCATTACGAAAGATGCATAACTTCAACGCTAGATGGACCAGGTGGTTAGCCCACCTCTGCCATCGAGCTTCTTGAATTTATAATATTTTGCCATAATTATTGTAAACTAGCGATCAGCCCAATTTCGATTGGGTGCACTTTAACACAAACATCAACATTTTTATGAATTTTCTGAAAGTCTAATTTCCAAAAGAGTTTCCAAAAAAAACTTTCAGCACCCTTGTGACAATTTATCCCAATGCTTCAGTTTATGCTCGTACGTATATTCGAATCTCTTTTGTAAACGAAAGATGAAGTACTCGTATTTGCAACTGTGTTGACGTTTGTGGGTACATTGGTTTATACAGGGTGGCCGGGGAGTTGACGTTCAAGTGTAAAATTTAGATACCTTATGATGAGGAGTATCTAAATTACCCCCATATTATGTTCTACGATTTTGCGTAGTTTTCGAGTTATAATATTTTTCATGTTTTTTTTCGTAATTTTCAAATCCATCATAATTCATAGAAAGTCAAAGATTTAAATAAAATACAATAATTATTTTTTTCCTTTGAAAATGCCTTAATTTATTTGAAGGTCAGTTACAGAAAATAAACCCCCCTTAACCCTATCTTTATTTGGCCTTGTTTTAAAGTTTAATGTCTCAGGAAGTTTCTGAAAGTACTTAGAACTCCAAATCCACCCATTTACATTTTTTTTGATACTTTGAAAATTTGTGTGTACTGAGCTCAAATCGTAATTTTGAACTTTCGAACAAATTCTAAGTGAATTCTGCAATGCCTAGATAAAACATAAGTTTTAGGGCGCTAGGTCAGACTATGTTAGTTAATTATCACAAAAAAACTGAACCAGAAAAGTCCAACAGAATGAGGAAAAAATCGAAAACTGATGTTAGGTGAAAATTACGAAAAAAATCATTAAAAATATTATAACTCGAAAACTACGCAAAATCGTAGAACATACATGAGGGTGATTTGGATATTCCTCATCATAAGGTATCTAAATTTTACGCTTGAACGTCAACTCCCCGGCCACCCTGTATATTGACATTGAAAGCTGAATGTTGAATTTGGCAGGTATTTTTCAATATGCAATTAGTCGAAGTGCTACTGAGGTAAAAAAGGTGTACTTACTTGTAAAACTGGTGTAATAAAAATTATTATTTTTTACTGTACCCCGATGACGTCACATTTGGTATAAACACCGAAGTCATATAGATCTTTGGCTGCTACAAGCATTTCTAAAAGGCGAAAAGTTCTATTCTCGGTGCGCAAAAATATTATGGCAGACAACGGTGGTATTTTTTTGTCTCGTAATAACAGCTGACAATAGTTTAAGTCCCTATCCTTTCCATTGGCAGATTTATACTATGTTTGCATACAGTTACCGGTATTTTTTTTTTGCTCCCTTGCTTTCTTATTCAGTATGGGAAACTGTTAATTTATGCGTGTTTCAGTGTGTGCAGTTAATTTTCAAAAAAAATATGCATCAGTCAAATACTAACATTTTTTTTTAAGTTATTAGGAAACTGTCAATGCGTATGCAGAAAATATACATTGCAGTAAAAAAATGTCTTGAAACTATAATACAATGATTTATAATAAAAATTTCTAAAATGTACAGAATATCTCGAATTAAATATACGACGGAAATTTCACTTGTTCTCATTTGTGTATTGTTATATGAACTTGTCTTTAGTAGTTTTTGACTAACTAACTATTTGATTAAACTTAAATGGAATTACCTCAGCATATTACTTACCAAACAAAAAAGGAATAATATTTTTTTTTACATAAAGTAAAAATCATATTCATAAAAACAAAACCGACATATTAAAGACCTGAGTTGCTATTTACTGCTTGGCTTGGCATGGCAACGACTCCAAATATTAATTTGACTATAAATGTACCTATACATAAGGAAAAAAATATGCATTATTTATTAGTTTTAGTGGTTTTGTTTTTATGAAGACGGATTTTATTTTTTGTTAAACAAGTTTTTATTTTCCTCTTTTTATAAGCCAGAGCAACATCAACTTACTAAATATCTGACCGCAAATCTGTCTGATCTGCAATCTCTTTTTCATATTTCGTAAAATAACCAAACACGATATGTTTACTGTTCCTATTTGAGGAGTTCCGTTGTTTATCTCCGTAACTATTTATCAGATCACCAAATTAATATGAGACCATCTCGCTAAGAAATTCTTCAAAAACAAAAAAATATCATCGAAATCTATCTACAAACCATGGAGATATGCGCGAACAACAATAACAAAAAGAAAATATAATGACGAATTGAGAACTTCCTCCTTTTGGAAGTCAGTTCAAAATTATTCCTAATTGGCGGGATCGAGCTCGGGATCCAACCACCGATCACTTGATTCAACCTTAATGCGGCATTCGGCTATTTGTCCCTTACTTCGTACAACCTAATTATGGATGCTTTCTGGTTGTCATTGCTACTCTTCAACCACATGACAACAAGAGACAACGAGATTAGAAGTCATCTAGAGTATGCATCTCAGGTCTGGAACCCCAGATATTCTACCTATATATCTCGCATTGAAGGCATCCAGAGGAAATTTGTACGATATCTGTGCTTTCGTACAAAGGAAAGTTATCATTCAGGTCGGTACGGGGAGCTCTGCAAAAAGCATCATCTTCTCCCCTTACAGATGCGTCGCGAAATTGCGGATTTAGTTTTCCTCAGTAGGATCGCTTCTGGGGCTGTTGACTGCCCGGAACTCCTATCAAAGATCTTGTTTGGAGTTCCCCCCAAACCCCTTAGGATTAATCCTGTTTTAAATATCCCCCCTACTTCTACAAATTATCGGCAGAACGTTTTTTTTTTGTCGAGCAAGTAGCAGCTTCAACTCACTATCGAAACAGGTAAATTTAGATCTTTTTAACACTAGCGAGGCGTCGATTAGACGTACGAGTATCATTACTTGTTTGTTTTTTGGAGATTATAATTAATATAATAATAATAATAAACATTTATTCCAGACTTAATTCCATAGACAAGTGTATGTACTTAACATGTGCGTAATTTGTTAATTTGTTATTCTGTTATTTATCATAAGTACCTCATTTATAAACCTATATTTAAGAGATTTTTTACATTGGACAGTGCAAATAGTTTCTTTATAACTTTAAGTTATGTCTAGATGTGAGGACCTGTAATTGGCTCTTTGTCGCTACTATGCATTTCTAGTATATTAAGATAAGCTGCTGGTCTTCCATGTAACCAAAATAAAAAAAAAATATAAAAAAAATAGATGCTGAGAGTTACGAGGTTACAGATCTACGAGTTTACTCTCATGTCAAAACTATAGAGTCCCATATAAAGTTTCACCTAAAAAACTTAAATTAAGACAGAATCACTTCTAACCCTAATAATCTTAGGCGTATTAATAATAATAATGTTATATCCCATATATCATCGTTACTCGATATTGGTACGTATAAAATTATTATCATATCAATCCAAAAAATATATTAAATAAACCAACACTTGAATGAATCAAACAGCGTTATATTTAAATACAAAATGCGCTTCGTAGAATGAAGTTAAATCAACAAGAGAGGAGACCAAACTGTTTTAACAAATTGAACAATCCAATATGAATATCGGTGTTGATTTTAGTTTAACTCTCGTTTTAAGTAAATTTAAAGGCTTAGCCACATTTACGCTGCTATTCCACGAACTATTTTGTTAGGAAAACGAATATTTTCACCGTATATTTTTTTTTATTTCATTGTAACGATATTGTTTTTTTTTTTATTTATTATTGCCTTATGTTTGTTCCTACCATTATAGCTACAATGTATTATCAAAAAATCGTTGGTCAAAATATACATCAAATCGCATTCTATGAATTGATTTTGAATAAATGTCAGATAGAATAGAAAAAAGTTTGTAATGAGAGTATTTCAAATTATTAGTTATTTAACTTTCCTATCAAGAACAGAGAGATCTAGAACCAAATTTTGGTTGCTTATCCAATGACCTGTCTATGCGGAAACGTACTGGACCCGCTCAAAGCTGTTCCACAAACCCCTACTCGATTAGCGTTAGCAAAGCGAAAACCCAACCATCTATCTACATATCTCATCCCCCGCTAGCAGTTATGAGCTGAAAGCACAATATATTACACCAAAGGGTTTATTTGTTACGTCATCAACACAGTATTGTTCGAGATTGTGATTATAATAAAATGTGTTTGTGTTGCAGGGGTGCCGGTGGGGGTGGCATGTTCGGAGACGTCAATATATCAGCTATTTTGGATTCGTTTAGTATAAGTTACGACAAAAGAGTAAGACCAAACTATGGAGGTTAGTATATTACGTCATTATTATTTATTTCAATTAGAAATTTTCCATTATTGATAATAACATAGCTATAGTTCTTTATTAACCTTAAATAATATATCTTGACAAGCAAAGCGTATATCGATTTACGTAAAAACATGATATTCAAGGATTTAAGTTAAATCTGCTCGCAGAAACGGAATTCGCCAAAATAGTGTTGCATAAAATGTAATTAGACATCGTTCTGGATATATCAAATAGTACATACATCATAACACCTGACTCTTAATAAAAATTAATAAAGAATATTGTTGGATTACCTCATCACGTACCAAGGGAGTATTATTTTTAGAATGATAATTTTAAGTATTAATACTTTTGATGATTGGATAAGACCTCAAGGCGCCCTAAGAGAAGGCTATAAAGAGATTAAATTTCAATTTTGTTTGACGTTTTGTAATCTTTTTATTTTTGGAATTCATAAGACAGATCCAGATAAGCAATCGTGATTGAAAATGCAAAAGATTCTCGACTTGGATTAAGGAAAGCAAAGGAGAAATATATATATATCTGTCTTACGTAATTTATCATTAAAGCATTATACTGATATTATATAAGATAATAATCTTATGATTTTGCCTTAGGAATTGGTAGCTTTATAAAATCTTTGTTCCATTTTTTTTCTGGATATGAACTTAGAACCGGTTGATTCATTGAATGTACTTTATTGAAATGGTCTATTCAATTTTAAATTTGAACTTCTTTTATCGAAATTACTTTCGATAGTGGATTTTCGTTATATTTACTTAGAAGTGAATTAAAGCACAAGGAATAGTAATTTTGATAATCACAATATTTTTTTTTTAATATTGTATCGAAAATAATAATGGAACCTATTAGCTATTTAATCATTAACAAACCAATAGTTTATCCGTCCTTTGTTCAGATATATTAAAGATTATGGAGCTATTGTCATTATTAAAAAGGCTCTACAAACTGAGTGTAACTCACCTGTTAAAGTCGTCTGGAAAGACAACAGTCCGACATCCTCAAGCCACCTCTATCTTGCTGACTTGCATCCTATAACCATACAAGCTAAAGCAGCGTTGCTTGTGACTTTTTCAAAATTTGACGTTACTTTAACCTTCTGTGATTACTTTTATGGTACCCAATTAAATACATAATACGTTTCGTTTTCGTAAGTCTCTAGTTAAAAGATAACATTTTTCTTCTATTTACTGTAATGGCATGATGTGATTTATTATATTATGTTAGCTCTCTTGACTGTGGGAGTCCAAACTATAGTGGCTCTTTACGTTAGGAAAACTTAGAAAGGACAATGGGTAAAACACACCCAGTTCCGCCAACAATGTAATTAGTATGAATCGTTAGATCTATGAAAAGCTAGCCTTTTTTACTATGATACTGTAAAAAATATATCCTGGTAGTTAAAAGATGAGACACCGACACCGTAAAAATATCCTGGTAGCCAAAAGTTAAAAACACATGGGCATATTTAAGTAACTAAATAAATTCATTTTATAGTACCTTCATTATATATTATTAGTAACCATAACAATATGCCATATCGTACTACACAACCAGATAAACGACAAAGCCTGTCGACCATCCTGCGCTTGCTCTTACTGAGCCACCTCAAAACGGTTTACGGGGGTTAAAGGACTTGCAGTTGGAAATAGTCGACTCGTCTTACTTCGTTGTGATTGTGCGTTCCATGTCACTTGATTGATTTTTATCTAACACACTTTGGACATTGGAACACGATAATCCGTTATGTCAATTATCATGGATGAACTGGAATCATGTTTTCTCCGAAGCGTGGACAAGTTTGCGTGATTTGTGGTCGCTCCGTTTTACATAGAAGACAATTTACTGTCACGAACAGACTGTTTGAAAAAACAAACAACAACAAAAAAGTTTTTGGGATTTACTCTAGCGCGACAGAATAACATAAGGGAGCACCCTTGCACCTTGCGAAGTACTTCCATAATACCTGAGCCCTCTATGTAGGTCGATTTAACTTACTAAATTAATTCCCTTGTTTCATTAATGTTCGTTTGTTATAGTACTTGTACCTATATAACTCCAAATAACTAAAGATCCCCGGGATGGAATTTGATGCGCTTTGGCACAAATGATCATTACTATTATACCTTTCAAACAATTGTTTAAGCCGTAGCGGAGGTGGGTGCAGCCATACATTTTTGCCCAATGTCCTTTTAAAAATATATGATAGAACTTGAAACCTTAGACATGGGTTGTTTTAAGAGTGCTGCTGCAGTGAGAAACTTGCTGACCAGTTTTTGTGCTTCTTATAATTTTACATTCTTTTAAAACGTAATAGTTCAAATATGGTTGTTATTAATGCTTAAATAATTATTAGAAGTTATAATAATACTCAGAAGATTGCCTATTAGGTCAAAAATGTGAAAAACTCTTAATAATAACAAAAAACTGACCATGCTCGAGTCTGGGCTCGCTCTATTATGGTTCCGTTAGACAATTTGTTTGTTTTCGATACAACTTACGAGTAGAATGTACATTATGCAACGGTGTTTTCAGTATTTTCTGTTTAATAATTACATTTCCTTGTTATTGAAAAAAATAATTATAACAAATATATCTTTACCCTTCTTAACGATGCCTAGATAATTATTTATCATGCTGGGGTAAAAAAAAAATCGTCTCTTTCTCGTGTTGGGGATTATGAGAAAATAATTTAATTGAATCTTTAACATCACTTCCGTTTTTACTCTTTGGGTACAGAACCCAAAAAAAATCCGGGTAAGAGTACACGTATTGGTCATATTAAAAATAGAATTAGAATAGATTTAGGTCAGGAATCGATTGGAAGAATGATATATTGAAACAGGAATGTTCTTTAGATTCGGTTTGGTGGATCGTAGTAATGGGTTTAAATTAGGTAATGGTTAAACGCTGACAGGAACAAATAATTCAGATAGTGGTTAGCGTACGTATGTACAAATGCTCGCAAAGTAAATAAATACTTATAACATAACAATATATAATATACAACAGTGTCAATTTACATAACAAATGGCCAAGTGTGAGTGGGTGTGACGGCAAGTATTGCACACGATTCCTGTATAGATGGAGGCTAGAGTAGATTGTTTGGTCTTCTAGTGTAGATGAGTCAATTTCAGACAATTGAATCAGGCGATAGAGCATCTTGGCCGGAAGGACAGCTGGTCACGTCCGTGTTTCTCTATGGTCGTCATAATGGATCTCTGGCAGACCACTTAACTGCTGCACAAACTTTTTGCGTCAAATACTTGACATTGGAGTGGGTCGCGTTGGAAATTTCCATATATTAAAACGAGTACTGGCGTTCCTTATTTCTTTTATTCACAAAAGAATTTTACTAGAAAACAAAACACCATTGTCAGATATTACTGAATAACTTTTTTGAAATAATTCTTACAACGATCATCAGAAATATAAAGTTATTATTTTTCTAGTGGATAGACAGAAAATTATCAGTTTAAGGAATGGGATAAATTAGAGAGCAATTTTTTGATGCATTTTTCGTCTCAGGCTGAAACAAACGTTGTTGATTCTCATATTATTATTCACAATTGTTTTTATAAATTTATGAAGTCATACAAATTTAGAATATAAAGTTTTTATGCTTTTCTTTATCTTAACTTTTATGATTCACCATAAAAACTTATTTTTGATCTTGTTATAATACAGCAGTTTTTTACGATAGGTACAAGTTTACACATCAAAACCTCGTTTCGCAAATGCTTGAGTAGATAATGATTTGGCAAATAGTCAATGAGGTCTGCGGCAAATAAAAATAAAAAAGAATGTAGTTTAATGATAAGTGAGAAATAAATTATCTCTTGTGATGTGTTCTATGTTGCGTCGTTTTCAGGACCACCCGTGGAAGTGGGGGTTACCATGTACGTGCTCTCCATCAGCTCTCTGTCTGAAGTGAAAATGGTACAAATTCAAAGCAATATTAAAGACACAGCGCATACATAGCAAGATTTTTGTCCCTTAGTATGATCACCAGCATTAAACCGTTCATCGTAGCACCCGTGTCCACGGTTCGATCGCGTTGATAGGCGCGTGGCGATGCGTTCGCCGGCCAAGGTCGCGATCGCATCGCTCGAGTGTCGCGTGGGACGCGCGGCGTCGGCATGCCCTACGTCAACCTCAACCACCCGCTCCCCGCGCCTCTCGCGACCCCTCCGCTCCGCCCGCCGCAGGCGATGGGGCACGTCACCGTCCTCTGGTTTGGTTTTCACGGCGCGAGGCGCGCGCGCTACTCACGATTGGGCTTGATTGCAGGTCCGCCAGTGGAGGTGGGCGTCACCATGTATGTGCTCTCTATCAGCTCCGTCTCCGAAGTGCTCATGGTACTCGCCACTGTCAGCTCACGCTTGACTCGGTCGCTCCGGCCGCGCCGCCGCCGCGACCGAGCAGCCCCAGACACGAGGCTGCGAGCATGTCCGCGTTTTGGTGGAGCAGATCGCCCTTTATCCGTCCACTTGCTTTCTTACTATGTGATTTTTTTCAAAATATCTTTTGATTGAGTAATTGGTTTTAAAACAACATAATAAGAAATGCAAAACCCTTGAACTCTTTCCAGTTGTGTGTCCGGCAGTACTCGTAACTCCAAAGTTGCTGCTATGTGAAAACTAAGTGATGAATTCTGTTCGTTTTCGTAGTATACCTTGTTCTGTTCGAGACAGGAAGATGGTGTTAGTACAAATCCATTAAATCGTTAATGATATTTTTTATCGATTGTTCAGGAATATATTCACGGGCCACAGTTAAAAGATATTAATTTTTCAATAATTTATTTTTATTATGGTTAACATACATCAGTCAATTTATAGTCTTTTAACAAACAGATAATCATCACTTTTGTTGTTTATGTGGTTTACTTTGATCCATTTTTATTTTTTCTTATCTCAAAGTGTTCTGTCAAATAAATGAAGAAAGTAATCATGGTAAATTCATTTTTGTTTTTATATTTTATTTTTGTGCTCTATGGATTTGCGACGACTGTTCAAATCTTATCGTGATTCATTTTGTAGTTTGTTGTGTATGTACGTATATGTGTATCTTCAGAATTATTGCCAAAAAACCGTAAAATCTCTTATTTCCCGTAACTTGGAACATCGATGGAGTGACCTGCCGTTAATCATCGTACACTTTGAAAGAGCTTCGTGACTTTACATCGTAAAGTCAACGAACATGAAATTACAGTTATATTTTCGGAGTACAATAATGGATCGAGGTCAGCATTCGGTTTTCCAAAGTATCAAACTGTGAGCTTGGTAGGCGTACATTTGGGTGAAGGACCCCAAAGTGGAAACCAAATCAAGGTTGGGAAGGTCACAGTGAGACGTGACCCATGGCCCTGGGAGGGGAGTTGCCTAATTTACAAGTCGCAAACCCGCGATTCAAGCTCATTAACGAACGTTAATTTGTTCCACAAACCCAGTCCGAACACTGTTCGTGGCAACTTGTATAACGTGCCAGTTTGTTAGCTTCAATTAACAGAGGACTGCCTTATCGAGCCGTGGGTGCCACCCACTCGCCTTGCCCTCTACAACCACTTAGAACACCTACCTACTTGTTCATTCTTAGACCTCACCTGTATTATGTAGGCTTCATTTCACACTTACACTCTGCACAATTTTATTATTATGTTTAATTTTGATAATTGTTTCAAGCTTACCGCTCCACTTGATGTAGTGTTGTGTCTATACCATAATGTAACGTACCACTCATAATAATATATATAAAAAGATGTGATTTAACTTCTGACTTGTGAGATCTACATTTTTCTTCAGAACTTCATCTCAGTGCACACAACATTGCGTAGGATGAAGTCGTTTCTGAATAGCATGCAGATGTTAGATGTTTGTAAAATAGTACAATTTTATTTATGAGGTACTCGATGATTGTGTGTTCGTAAACATTTTTTGATTTATAAAGCTTTCAAAATCTAGAATGTTGTTATATTATAATAAAACGTTATACGATTCTGCCTCTGTGAAAGCTTTATGAAAGCAACATATTAGAATCATCATACAATGAACCTATAAAAGCACACGGAATACATTATTTTCATTTTTTCACAGGATTTCACGCTGGATTTTTACTTCAGACAGTTTTGGACGGATCCAAGATTAGCATACAAAAAAAGAACTGGAGTGGAAACCTTATCGGTGGGTTCTGAATTCATTAAAAATATATGGGTGCCTGACACTTTCTTCGTAAACGAAAAGCAATCGTATTTCCACATAGCGACTACTAGCAACGAATTCATACGTATCCACTATTCGGGTTCCATTACAAGAAGTATCAGGTATGTTTGAAGGCCACAACTTTGCCGCTACTCATATGATCCAAAAAGACTTAAACTAATGATATCAAAAATGTACGTTTATTATTACAGATTAACTATCACAGCATCATGCCCTATGAATCTTCAATATTTTCCAATGGATCGGCAGCTTTGCCATATAGAAATCGAGAGTTGTAAGTATCTTAACTATGAAACAAACTTGAGGTTTATAAATACATGTGTATTTTATAATTATTAATTGATAATAAGCTATATATTTTTTTAATAAAAATCTTTAATGTTATGTATAAATAATTTCATATATTACTATTTTGCTATATAGCTTTAAAGGAGTCTTAACTTAATAAAGGCACGCTTTGTGTGTTCAAAGTTAATTGGCCCTCGTGTCAATTTATAACTTTTATCACATTACTATGTTTACTTGAAAAAATTGTTGTATAAAAGAAACTGCAGCGAGGTGTTAGCTACCTAATAGCATACCGATGATAGAAAAATAACGCATTAAAAAAATTGTGTGTAATGTACTCACCTACGGCAATCATTGATTTGACTCTACCGCAATGCAAATTTCTCACTAGGCTTACAGATATTGTGTTGTGTCCACTTTCTTGTATCACAGATGCTACTCAGGGTTATACTGTGAGCACAAGAGTACAACTTAACCGTCGACACGTGCTGTGATTCCCTCGTGTTTTCATATCTCGGAACGTCTCCTTCTCGCATACAGCACCCGCAGAAGGCAGACTCGTAAATAGTAAGCCTTAATTCACACGAGCATAAAGCAACTGAATTGATAGTAAGACATCGACGCTGCGTTAGCTGAGCGGGCCAAAGGAGGCGGGGGACGGTGGCGCTGACGGTCTCTCCACCGGCACCGGCGAGGGCCGGGCGCGACGCACAGCGCGCTACACTAGCACCCTCGCACCACCGATGCGCTTTGACTACCAGCTCCACCGCACCGATTGCACTTGCATGACATTTTCCGTTTCGCTTCCGTCACAAACATATACCTATTCTTTTAAAACAATCACGTAGGTATTTAGTGCAACCTTAACCAAAAAACCATTGTAGACGTAATACTTTTTATTTTCGCCTTTTAGCACATTAGAAACGTAGAATTCCGTAGATTTATATTTTTCTATCATCCATGTTGAATCGAATCGAGTGTTTCGCCTGAAATAACAACGCGGCTCACTCGGCTCTTCTAATCATTGAAGTCTCGCTTTTTACTCTCGCGAGTCATATCTTCGACACCGCTGCTGCTCTTGAGGGAAACGCGATGCTCCGCAGCGTAAGTGATAGCGTTTTGTGTGTTTGGCATGTCTCCGGAGTCGGGTACACAATGAGAGACATTCGATACCACTGGAGGGATGGGTTATCGAGCGTCGGCATGAGCAACGAGGTGCAGTTGCCGCAGTTCCGGGTACTCGGTCATCGCCAGCGTGCGACTGTGGTTACACTATCCACAGGTAACATTTTGCAATTTTCGCTGCCCCAGCACTATCCGTCCATCGCTTCGCCACCGACCCCGTCTCCCACAGCCCGTGTGCAGACGATCAATACCGCGACACAAGCACACACGCTAACACGACATGACAACCGCACGACGAGACGAGTAAACCTGAGCTCGTGACTCCCTCGCTCTTACCCCGAACGATTGACGACTCGATGCAAAACCCATTGAGATGGGCCTGGGGTTATTTCATTTTTGTGTCCGCTGCGCACAGTCGGCTACACCATGCGGGACATCCGATACAAATGGAACGAGGGGCCCAATTCTGTCGGTGTGTCGAGCGAAGTGTCGCTGCCGCAGTTCAAAGTGCTGGGCCATCGCCAGCGAGCCATGGAGATATCCCTAACCACAGGTATTTGACTACGCGGGGGTTGTACTTCCAAAAATAAATACACCACAAAGTGGAACACTGGACAGAAACAGCCACGAATCTATTCACGTCCTGCTTTTGTATTGTTGCACAAAAACACTTTGAGTGGTGTGACTTAGTACTGTCAATTATATTAATATTCCTACTATATTTTATATTTTTTCAAATAGAGAACTTTTATCACTATCATATTGTGAATAAATACTTCAACATACTAACGAATATCAAAATTTTACATTACATAATCGTTATTTCTTATCGAAACAAATTTATATTGTCTTTTTATTGTGTGTTCTGATTTTAATTATTTTTTAAATGGCACTGATTCCAGGAAACTATTCGAGGTTGGCATGTGAAATACAGTTCGTTCGTTCCATGGGATACTATCTCATCCAAATTTATATTCCATCTGGTTTGATTGTAATCATATCATGGGTATCATTCTGGTTGAACCGAAACGCAACTCCTGCTCGGGTGGCACTAGGTGTTACCACTGTATTGACTATGACTACGCTGATGTCATCAACTAATGCTGCCTTACCCAAAATATCTTACGTGAAATCTATCGACGTGTATTTGGGCACCTGTTTCGTCATGGTCTTCGCAAGTTTATTAGGTAATTATTTCTTCATAGTTTACTTTTATTTATATCTTAGACAATATAATATTTATAATGCCAAGCGAAATTTTACCATGTGCCAAAGCGATTATTTTGTATATCTCCAATTTTATTAATAAAGCTGAGCGAGTGTTAATTGATTGAAATCACAGTACTTGGACCATCAGAATACATTTCAAATAGATATTTTCTATCTTTCTAGAATATGCTACGGTGGGCTATATGGCAAAAAGGATACAGATGAGAAAACAAAGATTTGTTGCTATACAAAAAATTGCTTCCGAAAAGAAAATGCCAGTCGATTGTCCACCGGTAGGAGATCCGCATACGCTATCAAAGATGGGAACTATAGGCCGATGTCCTCCGGGAAGGCCTTCGGTAAGCTGCTCGGTAATTTCATTTGCTATCTTTCTATCGTAATATTTTACAATTGTATATTGGTTTTGCAAGTATCTATGTAATCAATTTCAGGAGGTTCGATTTAAGGTGCACGATCCCAAAGCGCATTCTAAAGGTGGGACTTTGGAAAATACTATCAATGGAGGGAGAGGAGGTGCAGAAGAAGAGAATCCCGGCCCACCTCCGCATATTCTACATCCTGGAAAGGTAAACTAATAAAGTTCCATGTTTTATGTTGACTAGCTATTATGTGACTTTAAGGCGCAAAGCGAACTCGCTCGCGAAATATCACTGCTATGCGTATTTCGTTCTTACTGATATTAATAGCGTTATGTGCTGGCGTAACTATGTTCAATTGTATGTTTGTTTTTTTCTTCATGTTAGAGATGCTGTTACATTACAGTTGTATTTTCGTTCCAGGACATAAGCAAACTTCTGGGGATGACTCCTTCAGACATCGACAAGTATTCTCGCATCGTGTTCCCCGTTTGCTTCGTATGCTTCAACTTGATGTATTGGATCATTTACCTGCACGTGTCCGACGTCGTGGCTGATGATCTGGTTCTTCTGGAAGAAGATAAATAGAGGGTCTATTGTGAAATCCACTCATTTTCCCAAACGATTTTGGTCAAATAATAATTTGAAACATTACGTCAGATTTCGTACGTAGACGCTAGATAACATTCACAACTAAATTAGAAATAAAGGTAAACGTAGGTCTTGTGAAAATATAAACCTAATCTACACGAAATAATTTTGTAGATACGAACCGTAATTATTAGACTTTAAAATTATATAAATACTAAATATTATATAAAGTAACTTTACAGTTGTAAATATTTAGAATTTGAAAGTTACGAATAAATTATGATTTAGTGTAAGTCTCAAATCTCTTTTCTTGTGAGTCTGAGGTAGAAACTAAAACGACTGAGATTTAATGATGTAGTAGTCGTAAATACATACATTGCCATTTATTTTATACGAAATCGGATTTATGTAGGAAATACGTTTTGACATCAGGACGACCGTTAAATAAGTTCGGGTGAACAAAACTCTGTAGTATATTTAATTCGCAGTCACTTTCTACGAAGTAAGAATTTAGGATTGGAAAATTAGTTAAAGTTTCTTTTAGTAACTTTAAACGAAATCATGTGATAATGTTTTTTTTTACCAATAAGAACTGTGACTACTAAAGTAAATAAAGCAGTTTTATTTAGTTCTTAGCTCAAGTAACACAAACAGCAAAGTTTCAAATTATTATTAATGGACTGGTGAAATTAGTGGAAACAAATAGATAATATAAACACTAAACTCTGATGCTCAACTTATTTTGCTTGATTGAACATTAGTTTCAGTAGACTTTCATATTGTCCAAAGTAGGTAACTGATTTCTTTATTTTTAATGTGTCTTGCTACTGCGACCAACAAATTTTGAATAACATCAATGCGAATGATCGCTGTGGCGATATCATTTACAGCGTCATAAATCGAATCACCGATTTTACAAAACCGCAACCCACGTTGCTGCAAAATATCTATACTTAAAACTATCATGCCGGCATTTATGAACTTTACATCAGTGTCCTTATCATGCTTCATAAGGAATGAAAAGGACAGACTGATGTCAAGTTTACAAATAGCAAACACGAATAGCCAAGTATTAAGTAAGTGCCGGCGTCAAGCGAAGCGCGCCGCTATGTCTTAAATCAAAAAATATCACTAGTTTTAATTTGTGTAACCACGTAGATATTGATGAAAATAAAGAAGAAAAGTCATTTACTTTCTTTCTTGGAGCAACGTGCATTATAGTTTTGTAAAGTTGACCGTTTGATGTGTAGGATAAGCCAGGAGATTTGCCCAGGTGGGAGAGTTGATCCAGTTGATCTTTCAAATTGTATTTAAATTTAGTGCAAACAAACCGTCAATTAGGTCATTGGTCACATATGCTGGACTGTTTTATAGAAATTTGTTTGTCGCAGTGTTATGATACACTTGTTTACTTTTTCAAATTCTATTGTTATGATTATATTTGTAGGTATTTTAATTTTTTACTAGTTTAGCAACGAAGAGTTTCAATTAACCCTGGACAGTCATACGTATGATTAATCTGTTACGTATATAATTTTAAGTACTAATATAGTTAAATGTGAAAAATTGTCCTGGGCAATTGATTTTGCTTCAATTAAGTAATTGCATGCTGAATTATCAACATTATTGGTTAAACCAATGTATTTATACCTGTTCATAAAAAAATATGTAAATGTATCTCAGTAGCAATAATAGCCATGCTAAGTGAACCTAAATGGTGTTCTGGGTTTACGCATAATGGAGTTGATCTTCCATACATTGCTACCAATCCGTTTAGTTCATAAACTTGTTTGGTTTTTATGGCCCCAACCTCGATCTCATTAGTGGCATGCATGCGCGAATAATAAATACAAATTATCCAGCATGTACTCTACCCAAAAAATCACATATTAATTCAAATAGTAATACAGCTTCCACCCACAGTCTTTGCTATTTGCGTGCAAAACGGGTTTTATTGCCATTTCAATTCTGATATCCAGCATTTGAATTGCTATCATTTTCGATTGTGTAAAAAATACTAAGTTAATGTCGTGTTTGTTCCATCGTGAATACAGAGTCTGTGGTATGTATCATACATTGTAGTAACCTAAGTCTTACACGCACCTGGTTTGTGTAACTTTCTAATTTGAAATTTATTATAAGATGCCACCAAACTTGGTTTTATAGAATAATATAAAACAAGGTAAATCGACCATTGTACTTTTAGTAGACTTGAGCGTCGACATTGTGGGACTGTGTGTAAGACATAAATAATTCTCAAGAGTTAAATGAGCTGTGTTGGTTGCGTTAGTGAAGACTTCATTTTAATTTCAGACATTATAGTAGATGTGCCCGATATCTTAGCTTTGTAGCTTATTCTATGTGCATCATGTTTGCATATACCTAATTATATGATAGTAAGTAGACAAACGATATTATTGTTTGAGTACCTAGTCGATGATTAAATTACTTACATTACTCTTGATCTGTGAAGGACGAAGCAAGTCAACACTTTCATATCAAAACGGACTTTGCTTTTTTATTATCTCAGTTCAATTTAACATATTAAATACTATTTAATAACGCTAAGGTGTCACCATATCGGTGAAATTAATAAGTACCTTTAAAATAAATGATAAAAGATGCTGCTATTTCACTAATGTTGGATTAAATACAAACAATACACGCTTTTCGTTGAAAACAAAAGAACATCGTAAGATAATCCTAGTGAATAATTTATTGTTAATAAAGAACAAGATATAATTAATAAACGTCTCGACTATATCCATAACTCATTACCCCTTTCCGAACATTCGCTATTTTTCCATTACATAATCAATCCGCACTTTACAACATGCAATGCTTTTAACATTAGAATTTAATAAAGCTTGCCTGCTCGTATTTTCTACTAGTGCCCCCCTAGCAGTGACAAGCCTTGAGCATTGGACTGGTTGTCGAAGCGGGGAGCTTGTTGAGACAACCTTATCGTATACCTGGAAATTTCAGTGATACGATCGGATTTTGTTGATAAACTTACCCTCTGTGACAACTGCTGCGTGCCCTCGAATATCTGACAAGCAGGGCTCCTATCTTCAGCTACGACGACTGATGTGAATATATAAAAAACAAACATTGAACTTCACGAAAATGTACAAATTACAGAATTGCCTGTTGAATGTTATAATTGATAGAGATTTTAATACTGAATGAAACTAGTTTAGATCCCACCACTGCCTCATTATAACGCGAACGTTATATGTAATTATGCAATTTGTTGTATTTTTGCGATATAACAGATATTTTTAGAATATAATAGATTACAGTCGAACAGAGGCCGAAAGGCATTATGTCACTGAGAAAAACAAATGAATATTTGAAGTTACACCTAGAAATATGTACAAGGCATTTTATAATATGTATTAACTGATGAATATATGAATAATAAATGTATGTTGTGTAGAGATATAGATTTATTAACAATTATTAACACACCGGGCGAGACACTACGATAAAACACCAAATGGAAATCATAATGTTCAAATTCATAAATCAGAACGCTAGAATACATTAATGATGCGCTTATATAAGTGATTAATAATATTATAGGTGAGATATTTTAATATAAATTTCGCCAATATTTTTTACTTGATTGTCTGAAAAAGAGAATAAAAAAATAAGCAATGTTTTATACATAATATACATTTGTCGTTTAGTGGGAATAAAAATAGTTATTAATTTCGTTATTTTTTAAGTCAATTTATGAGATAACCGAGTATTGTAAAAAATAAGTAATACTTGCTAAGGCATATTTACTGAAACGTTTAAAAACCAACAGGAGATATCTGATTGGTAGGTTATAAATAAATGTAAGTAGCAATGTAAATTATAGCCGTTAAATGAAAATGTACATTTTAGAATATTATAAAGTATATATGTATTATGAAGCGCATTCAGACATAAAGGCACTGTGTAATCCGTGTAATCACATTTTTATTGCAATTTAAATTTATTAAATTATTTGCTAGATTTAATATTAGATTAAGAACTAGGTTTCGCTGCTAGTGTGTGAGAAAGTTTAAAGTAGGTATCAAAGAAGTGTGACTTAGCTTACAGCTTCGTCTTTCCGAAACGAAATTCTAAAAAAATATCTAGTGATTAGTTACTTAGAACGAGGAATATAGATATAAGCAATTATTATTATTGTCGTGACTAGTTTTAAAGTAGGGTTGAGTTGGGATTGGATCGTACTTAAATATTATTATAAGGATAAAGAACATTGGCAATGTAAATTGTCTCCCTTTGACTAATATAGGTTTATTTGTATATTATGCTGGATTACGTATTGATTTGTTACTCATATAAATATTATAAATCAATGTGATTTCTTAGTGCGTAAACTCTAATGTGTTATTAATTATTGTTAGATACGTTTTCTCTATTTTATTGTTGTTTCGTATTGATATTTTATTTGTGTCTGAGACAACTACAGTGAAGTGAAGATAAAAGGAATGTAAAACAATAGTGATATTTAGCCTTTTACATTTTAACGAAACACGGAATACAAATATATTAATATTTAATTACTCAGAACGGTCACAACAAAAACGACTGCCATTATCATTAACTTTTAAAGGCTATTTGCTTTGAGCACGTTAACAGATTTTTACATAATGGACTTTTTTGTGATGTAGGGTAACCAACTCTTTATAATTTGAGTCGATTTTTGAGGACTTTCAATAAGTAAAACCTATTCGGGTCAAATCATAATTGATTCAATATGATTTAATATTTTGGTCCCTTATAATGACATTATTATATATTGTTATAATGAAAGATCTCAAATAATCTTTGCTTCTATGTTATTTAAGAACGTATTACGCTTAAAAAGTTGTTTATTTAATACCTTAGCTGTACTACAAGAAAACATTCCAAAATATTAACTTTTGGTATAATTTTATATAGTTAAAAATATGTATTATATTTCCTCATTATGAAAGTCTTAAACAACATTTAATACTTTATACAACAATAGGCTTAACTGTTTCAGCGGAAATGTAAAACAATTAATACAAAATAGGCGCAGAACAAAATAAGCCATTTATTTATCATATTAACCTGAAAACAAAATTGTATTCCTCATAATAATTCCTTCATAAGTTGAGTTTCATTTTCATTTCATCAATGAGGTATATAAGCTTGATATTGACGATATTATTTTCTTCAAACATAAGAAATTAAGTATTTAACTAAGATTCAAATACCCAATCTAATTTAGTTTATTTTTTAATTAAATAACACTTTAAAGGCTACCATTTATAAAAGTGACGAAAATGAGATAGTATAGTAGAAGTAATTTAAAAGCAGTAATATTAAGTTTCCTTTTCCTTAAACTTACCGTAAGTATTACCAATAAGTTCTCCAAATATTAAATAATATTATTTATAATTAAATAATATTAAAAATTCCACCCTATGACATGTTTACGTTAAAAGTAGAAAAAATATAGTTCGTAGATTTAATACCGTTTCCCATTTTAATTCTATCACCTATTAAATTAATCAACAGAACTAAATAAATTAACCTCCACCTTTGATTCAATTTATATTGATTAATATCTACGGATGTCGTTAGCTCTAGATGTCGTTTTAATGGCTCATCCTTGTGAAATTCAATACTATATAAATAAATCTTGATAACCACCACCCACTATAAGTAAGTTCTATGCACGTTATCTTCATAGACGGTAGATTTTATAAGAAAACTAATTCGCTCAAGTTATCGTTATCAATAATGATTACGTATTTTATCGATCAAGAAAATGTGGAGTTGATATTATGCTTAATAACACCAGCATTGTATATTAAATATATACCTGATATTTATATACATTATAGGAGGTTAAAGTAGAGCTTTTTTGCAACAAATCAGCTGAAAGTAAGTTTTTTTCGAGATTATTTTTTATTTTTTTACGCTTTGTGAATAGTCAGTTGATTTGTTAATAAAAAATAAACATAAAGTGGATGTACTTACGTATGACTCGTATACACTCTGTTTTACTACGAGTTCGCTTAGAGTTGGTCGTTCCCACCCTCCCCGCCTCACCGCACCACACTCCTAGACAGACTTTATTAGTCGATCCTATTGGTCGACGGTACCGATTAATGTGCCTGTGATTGGCCTGTGACATATTTTGTAACGGTCATCGACGGCCAACTCCAAGTGAACGGGTAGTATTGAGATTCAGTACCCTTAACTGCGTTCATCTGTAACTTGAGTTTTGAAAACTACAAAGAAACAAAGTATTATGATCGGTTTTCTTATTTGTTGTAACGAGCTATTATCTAACCACTTATAAAGATTGCGTCGAATTGATGGTCACCCTGTCATGTAGTAGACTAGTTACAGGGATACCTTTGTTATTATTTAGTAGATTTTTTTATTTATGTATATACATAACAGGATGGAGAAGATCATCAAATCAAAGTAATTGCACTGAAGGCGTGATGTTTTCAGTTAGAACTTAGAACAGTTAAAGTGTAGGTTCAGTAATGTTACTAAACAGCATTATCACTATACCTTCTTGCTAAAATTTATAATAATTTTGGTAAGATAATTAAAGTAGAAATGACGGTATAAGTAACTAAATGAAACTAACAATGATGAAGCAATATTCCTTAGCACAAATTGTCATAATAAATTGAAACCAATAAACATGAAATACGCTTTATACATAAGTAGTGTAAGCATATTAAATCGATGTGTTTTCAAATCGCAAATAATTTAATAATTATTATAAAAAAAAAAGTTTAAAAACCAACTAGATACTAAAGTACTTTATTGTATGAATAAATAGTATCATAAAACTTATCCAAATTAAATTTCGCGAATAAGTTTTGTATTATTATTATTAGCTACATTACAATTATGGGTGTACTTATGAATGATTTATTATTATGTAAAAAGTAATGAAATGGAAAAAATAAATCATTTTTCAAATAAATAGTCATTTTATTATTACCTATCTCTATTAGCCTATTGTTGAAAACTGTTTTTAATTTTTAAATAGGAATATTAAACTCCATCAACTCTATTACAGGGCGGCCAATTTGGTCCGGTCTGGCATGCCTTGGGGTAAACACGTATATTCCGCGATTCTTTATAGTCTTCAAGTTACTACTTTTATCTCAATATCATTAAAAATGTCTAAATACCAGCTTAAAAATTACAATAAAATAAGTAGAATTTCTTTTGAGATATATTTTATTGCATGAAATAATCACCTTCGTAACTTTAATTAAGGTAATGAACTTGTTGATCAAAAGTAAAAAAATATGTTTCGTGAATTATGAATTTAAATTCTTTCAACTTAAAAATTTGCGTCGGACTCTAGGCTTTCATAAACATTAAACAAATGTAGTTCTCAACGGGCTACTTTAGCTAAAATCAGTCTTCAGATGAAGCAAGGTGGAAAATTCTTAAAATTAGCCAGTTGTCTTAAGTTGTGATTAGATGGTGTGACCATTTTTGCCATAAGTATCATTCCTAAACCTAATAAACTTAATTATAATAAATAAACTTCCAATGTTGGAAAATATACTTCCAATGTTGCTCTTAGATGTGAATCTCAAACTTAGACCGTACTATCACGGTAATATTATCTATACAGTATTGTGACGTGGCCCTGTCCTTGAAATAACTACCTACGGCCGAGCGGGGCTGATCCACGCGGTAGGGCTACAGTATTTTAAATTCATCTACATAATTGAGTTTCTTTCTAGTTTTGTGATTGTAAATATTTTATTTTGACGTTATAAGTTGATAGTAAGACTCAAAAGTTTATTTTATTCTTCTTAGAGCATTTAATTTTTATTTTTATTTCATATAAATCTAATGCAGCAACGGAACTTAACTCGCATTCGTTATCTCCTTTCATTAGTCCTTTCATTTGATACCCATATTGTATGAGTGCAAAGAAAAAAAATAGACCGCCATCTTGGGTGTTCCGCCATGTTGGATTTAGAGTGACATCACTTTGTATTTCGAGCTATTCTCCGCAAGCCCTTTATTTTGATATCCATATCGTAGAAATGCATTAAAAATAACTATTCCGCCATGTTGGATTTAGAACGACGTCACACAGCTAACAGTGCTATTTAATCAAAACGTGTATATACATTTCCGCTCAACCAGTTGAAGATGTCTGCTTCAAAATAGAGTTGCAAGATTCCACCCGAAGAAAGTAGTTACATACCTACCTATATTGCAAGTTAATTAAAAGCTTGTAAAACCCGACTGCTGATTTTTATTCTTACATAATTCAATAAAAGAATATTATTTTAAACATACAAGTTATATTTATTTGTTAGTCATGGCGCAGTCGGGTAAAAAGGAAATTACCTACAATGGTAAATCTTACTAGGTAGGTACTGTAGGGATCGTTTCATGCAAACTAATTATTGTCATTGAAACACTTTTATTTTCAAGAAATTACATTATTATTATCAATAAACAAAATACTGTTTTTTAAACTCCGCACAAATCTCTCTATTTTAATATTTTCAAGCTATCAATTCCTGTCAATAATCCGTCTCTTTTCCAAATTACCTAATGATCTGCCAGTATACACCAAAAATATCCGATCACTACAATACCTACCATTTATTACTCTCGTAAATTATTTCATAATGATAATTCATTTAATTCAATAATGTATGTAGTTAAGTTAAGTAAGTAGATAGCCTAGTGACTAGTCTAAGAAACTACCTACCTATTATGTAGTTTTGTTTTTAACGCGAGTGTAGGTAGATTACTCGTTTGTCTCTTTTTTCACCCTATCTTTATATATATAATTCTTCTGTGAGTGTGTATGTCACTGAACTTCTCTTAAACGACTGGACCGATTTTGATGAAATTTTTTGTGTGTGTTCAAGGGGATCTGAGAATGGTTTAGATTCACAATTTTGTCCGCTGGACAATGTTTTTTTAATTATTTTTTTTATGGCGGTACGAAGTTCGCTGGGTCAGCTAGTTATTATACAGGCTGTGACAAAAGTCCGAAATAAAACTTTAGGGTTTGGTTGTGTTCCTTGTATAGAATTACCTACGAAAGTTTGACGCCTTTCAGACCACTTTTATTTTCTAATTAAATTAATAAAAATATCGTTTTACACCTGCCTATGACAACCCTATAAATGCGTACGATTACTACTACCTAAACAGACCCCCCTCTCTCCCCCAGGCGCCCCTGCGCCCCGCTCAGATACCTACAAATTTTTATTTCGGAATACATTTCTACAAATTTTATTTCGGAATTCTGTAACACCTGTATATATCACTTATTTATATATTATTCCAGATATTTTGCCGGATGGAAAAATCGAAATACCTAAATATTAATAACAAATTATGTACTAGTAGATAGGTATAAAAAACAAATCTATAGTCTTACCTTTCCAATATTTCAAGTAATTTAAAAAATGCTATCTCTGGGTCTCTCGTTATTGAAGAGTTCAAGCAACCAAAAACAGAAAAATTTCGTCGTTTGTTCTTTGCTATATTAAATTATCTACTTAATTCAATCAAATATTAACAATACAAATCGCTCGTGTAAGCACGGCTAACTGCATAAAACAATTCACACCGTTCGGTCGTCGCTGCGGCGTATTCGCGACTCGGTGTCCCCCGAGAGTGTCCCTCGAACTCGAGTGGCGTAGGTATGATTCGCTTTCCGACCGTTTGTATGAAGATAGAATACTGTATATAATATTATCGTGATACTATGGTGTTTCAAAATCACAACACAAGTCTGAAACTACTTAAGAGCCCTTTTACAAAATTGCGCCGCTGTCGTACTGATCGGCGCGTAGATAGATTTGCACTAGTACACATACATATATATTGCATTTTACGGGTGATGTTTCGAGTCTTAAAAAATACTTATTAATGAACTAATTATAAAAATATATACATATTAAAGTAGTTCAATGATGGTAGATTAGTTTTATGAATGTTTTTAATAGTAATTCTATTTATTAACCTGCATTATTTTTTGGGAAATCTCACGGAGATTAGATGATGATGGAGTTTAGATATGCATGTTTAAGAACCGTATGTAACACTTAGTTTGCAAATAAAGAGTTTGAGTTTGAGTTTTTTTTTTGATAATTAATGAGATGGAAAATCAAATTTCTAATACATTATGTTACAACAAAAACATATTTCTGATGTCATAGTAATTAATTTGAACTAATTTATTTAACATTATTGAGAGATTGAGGCGTTTAAAGTTGTGCATATTATCGTTTTATCCGTAAACTAGCTGCAGTCAAAAAATCAGTAGGAAAAAAAAGGAAAATAGTATTTGCAAATATTCTACATTAATTTGCAATAGAAAGAATAAATCTACTGTTTACTTCTATTGAAAATAGTCAAAATCTTTTCTAAGGGGGTAAACGAGGCGCTCAAAATTTACGAATTTTTGGAAAAAATGTGAAAGGGCTCTTAAGAAACAAAACCCGACAGAAAGATAGGACGGAGTGCACCGATTCCATGGCCTTCATGCTCAACTGGCCTCAACTCCATGGACTTTTTTCACTAACAAAGAGATAGCATACGCCCGAGAATGTTCCAGTGAACAAGAGCTGATGCAGAAGATTGCAAAAACTTGACTTGTTGTCAGTGAGAACAGAGAAGCTTGACGATTGAAACACAATTTTTGAACATATATCCTAACAAAACTTTGAAAACCTATTTCTTTTTCACATTAACTAATTATAAAAGTATTTCCTTATTCAACCTCAATAGGCTAGTTGCCTATATTTTAAATAGTGGTTAATAATATACCTTGATGTTTATTTAACCCAAAAAAAATATTATTTTAAATAAAAAAGTACATTAGCAATATGTATTTTGTATTTTAAAAAACTTGTTCAAATTTCCCTCGAAAACGCTCTAGACTGTCATGGCGTCTAGAATGACGTCACGCCGTGCAAAGCAAACAATACGCTGTACGCCGACTATTAAAATTATTTAGTTAAAAATGAATCCATCGTATTACAAGTACTGCATAGTGTCCTAGTATAAAAGGAGAAGCATAAAACGCCAGACAAATTATTTATATGCCACAAATGCGGAAAATATGGTTAGAACTTGCCTATTCATTGTTTATCAACAAATACAAGAATAATTTTGTGATGAACATTTTGATGTAAGTATTTTGCATGATATACTTTATCAATGAAATCAAAATGTTATACAAGCCGGATAAATTATATTGCATTATATTGATAAAACAATGACAATAGGTTGAGGTTAGGTAAGTTGATTTAATTTTATGGTATGATTTAGAGTCTATTTGAGAGTTCAGTCTATTTATTCATAATAATAAACACTTCTTATTCTTGTTCTAGTTGCCAAATGATATGCTTAATTATGTGGAGTAGTTATGCAATTTTTTTTTATTTTGGTTAAAATATTATTATTTGCTTCGGTAAATCCCAATTCCATGGATTTATTAGGCTTCCCTTCAATACTTATCTGAAAACAAACTGATAAATTGTATCAAAGTAATAATAACATGAATGAGATATCAATGAAATGTTTGGAAACGGCAATCACAAGTAATGTTTTGCACGTGGTGACGTCAGTCTTTCTGATTGGTGTTTGCCGTCACGTGATCTAATGCCTATTTTATTCGAATTTATTTTCTAAAAATAATAATAATCTTTAATTATTATTTTTTGTTATCTGTATATCATAATTCATATTTAGAAACTGTAACCCATTCGATTTATTGTTAGTTGACACAAGCCTATTTCCAGTAGTACCTAAACATTAATTAGCCTTAAGAATGATAATTATGGCAGAAAAAAAATGTAATCACATGACTAATTTTAATAGTTTTCCACCGTGCTTCATTTAAACACTGATTTTAGCAAAAATAGCCCATTGAGGACTACTTTTGTTGTTATGATTATGAAAGCTGAAAGTCTGGCGCATTTTTAAGCTGACTAAGAAATCATAACGTCAGCGGTTTCGATTTTTAATTTAAAGTTGAAAATTTTAGTCATAATTTACGAAATGTATTTTTCTATAATCAGACCAATATTTTCACTACTTTTATCAAAGTTACGAAGCGGATTATTTTATGCATTAAGTATGTTCATGCAGATTAAGTTGCAAAAAACATCTATAATGAACAAGTACAATGTTCATTCCATCGAATGTGTTAGATAATAACAATAATCCTTAAGTCTAAAGAAAAGTTTTACTGGAAAAAAAACCACGCGGACCAGGCATGCGGACGGGACTCGAACCTGCACCCTTCGCAATCCGGGCGAATGCACTGGACCAATTATGCTACCACGGCCGTAATGGCTGCGTCGAAATTTTCCTACCCTTAAGCTGCAAGGCAGCGCCATCTCTTCGCATTGTAGGTAACCCACAATGTCAAATTATACTTATGTTGAAAGAAGAAATAGCAATTATACTTATGTTTTTATTTTTTAAGTATTTAACTGCTAGATGTTTAAATCTAAAGAAAAGTTTTACTGGACAAAAATCCATATGGTTAAGTCTTAATTCAGAAATTTTAGTATTTTTTCGTAGTGATGAATTTTTTACTTTTTCTTGGCACGAGGCACGAGGTAAATTATACTTGTAGATAAGTATCCGAACATCGGAGACGACAAAATTTAATACTTACATTTTTGTGCTATAACTAATCTTCGCCAATCATACTCCACGCTTACATTTGGCAAATCTTCTCCGATGGAGACGCAAGTTTGAAGTATATTATAAATACAATAGTAACATCTTCACACTATTGATAACATTTTGTGGAAACTAATTCTCTCCTTATATCTATCTTACTGATGTATGTCAAAAGATGGCGTTCTTCCAACACCATAATATTTTAAATTGCTTTAGATCAACTCTTAAACGTATTTTTACTTATCTTACTTACTTACTTGTGTTTGTTATTTCTGCACAGCAACAATACTCATCAAAAGTATCTAGAGATGAAGTACCTAAACCTGCAGTGATAAAATATTCAGTCAAACATTTAAGTACCAAATCGTGTCACCTAAGTAAGATTTTACTTAAAACTTTTTACTTTATATGTGAACAACAAGCCCCAATTATTTTTAAATAATTAGGAAAATAACAGTTATTGTACACTTTGGGAAATTCGCCAAAGTTAACGACAGCTTCGTTTGCGTGCACGCGTTGGTAAGTACTTGATCCCTAGACACTGTTGATGTATTTAAAGCCGCCTATACATGTTGGTCAAGCGAAGGCCAGCAAATATTAACGGTATATTTGTTTTGCCTTGTCGTCGCTCGGTGTCGCTTGCCTAATTTGCCAAGTAAAGGAAACTACCAACGTGTATAGATCTCATTTGGCGTCGCTTGTCGGCACTCGCTGTCGTTCGCCAACATTTGTCTCACGACGTCCATAATAACTGATAGCGCACCAACGTATGGGTTTTCATATACTGTAAAAGTTCATATAAACTAACTACAATATTCAACGAACTATAAAAATGGGTACAATTTTTATTCAATTATACCTATAATTTTTATTATTTTTAAAGCATGTAACTGCTTGATGTTTAAATCTAAAGAAAATATAACTAGAAAAAACTCCACGCGGACCAGGCAGCAGACGGGACTCGAACCCGCACCCTTCGCAATCCGGGCGAATGCACTGACCAATTATGCTACCGCGGCCCTCACGGACCGCGTCGAAATTCTGTCTAGCTATTCTTAAGCTGCAAGGCAGCGCCATCTCTTCGCATTATAGGTAAACCCACAATGTCAAATGAATACTTTTTACAAGTATTAAACATTTTGAAAGAAGAAATAGCAATTATAGTTATAATTTTTATTATTTTTAAAGCATGTAACTGCTTGATGTTTAAATCTAAAGAAAATATAACTAGAAAAAACTCCACGCGGACCAGGCAGCAGACGGGACTCGAACCCGCACCCTTCGCAATCCGGGCGAATGCACTGACCAATTATGCTACCGCGGCCCTCACGGACCGCGTCGAAATTCTTTCTAGCTATTCTTAAGCTGCAAGGCAGCGCCATCACTGCACTTAAGGCACTTAAGGTTCGAGTCCCGTCTGCTGCCTGGTCCGCGTGGAGTTTTTTCTAGTTATATTTTCTTTAGATTTAAACATCAAGCAGTTACATGCTTTAAAAATAATAAAAATTATAACTATAATTGCTATTTCTTCTTTCAAAATGTTTAATACTTGTTAAAAGTATTCATTTGACATTGTGGGTTTACCTATAATGCGAAGAGATGGCGCTGCCTTGCAGCTTAAGAATAGCTAGAAAGAATTTCGACGCGGTCCGTGAGGGCCGCGGTAGCATAATTGGTCAGTGCATTCGCCCGGATTGCGAAGGGTGCGGGTTCGAGTCCCGTCTGCTGCCTGGTCCGCGTGGAGTTTTTTCTAGTTATATTTTCTTTAGATACAATTATACCTGTTTTGATAATAATTATTATTATGTACTTGCCAACGCAAGTATTAGAATATACTTTGTTGCGCTAAGACTTATGCACGTAAATTAAGACCAATGTTTTTTTCAAAATTGGCCACCTAGGTAGGGTGTACCGTAGCATAAATAGATATTCGTTCGACCAGTCGATCGCGATCGACCGTTTGAGCACCTCTGGTCTAGACAGTAGCTTTTGCCTTGTATCAGGTTACCTACACTCGCGTTGGGTGAAGCTCAGCTAAAATTTGTTGGTTGCTTAACGATATCAATGCCAAATTTACTTAAGAGAGTTTTTTTTGCGATTTTTAGGCCAGTGTTTAACTGAAAATCGCCTTTTATTAACTTTGAGTTTTTAAGGGTATGAGTATTTTTATAGCTTGATATGGATTTAGCTGGCACGCTGAAATAAAAATAATAAGATATTTTTGGAATCATCTCTCTCATTTGTATTCACAATAGTCTCGCACGACATTGTGTAATGAAGAAATGATTGGCAAAAATAATTTCTACAATACACTTTGTGACGCCATAACATTAAAGAGTTACCTATTAAACTAGGTAAATAATAATCAAGTGTAACAATCAGGCCGAGGCCGCACTGGTATGACGACTGCGATGCGACGGCGATTTTGTGAAAACCAACTTATATAAATATCGTCGTCATCTGGTTGATTATGCTATTTGATTAAATGACTAGCGCATTCATTGAATAACGACATTGAATTGAATGACTAGGCCGAACGTTGATTGAACAAGCGTCACTCAACGTCCAACTAGTTAGCGGATTGTAACATAGCCCTTTGAATAGAGCGGACGTAAAATCAGCCCGGTGATTGAATTTTTTTCCCACTGCAGCGCTAGTAGTCACCAAAACAAATATGGCGTCAAACAGGAGGAGGAAAAAAAAACTACAAATACCTATTTATTCGTTTATCTATCTATCAGGTGGCTGGCACTTCGCCAGACGCGGCACTCCCGCTTCGCTCGCTCAGCTCGCGCTAAGCTCACAACACTAACGTCAGTGAACGCGGTACTCATTCAATCAAATAGCAGTATACCAGATGACTGCGATATAAACAAATGTCGGTGGCCACACTACAGACGTTTGTTTCTGCTTGCACATAGCGTCACGTCGCGTCGCAGTCGCCGTACCAGTGTGACCACGGCCTTACTATTACATTTACTCAGAAAGGGTCTCATTAAAATGAACGCGGTACTCATTCAATCAAATAGCAGTATACCAGATGACTGCGATATAAACAAATGTCGGTAGCCACACTACAGACGTTTGTTTCTGCTTGCACATAGCGTCACGTCGCGTCGCAGTCGCCGTACCAGTGTGACCACGGCCTTACTATTACATTTACTCAGAAAGGGTCTCATTAAAAAGTTTTCATGCGAGTTTCAGTCAGTAAAATATAAAACAAATGGTTTCATTTATTTATTACAAAGTTCTTACAAAACGTTAGGTTTAAATGTCAACGCATTATTGACGTTAATAGTTATAATTGTGAACTTATTTTTTGTGCAATTTTAATTATAATCTATTAAAACTTTAAAATTTGACATGAAATAGACATACAACAATTCGTATATTTTTTTAAAATATCTTACACTAACTTTATTATAATAATAATGACAATGATTAAAGAACATTCAAACTTTTTTTTCATATTCAGCTTTAACTGACCGATTTCTTAATAGTAAAAAAGAAGTAATCGATCTAGTAAAACAAGAGCATATTTTTTTAAATCTAATTATGAATCGAATATAATGTCGAGATTACTAATCAACAACAAACATATTTTTCGTAACATTTACATTATAACCTGTAAACCATCTAGCACTTTCAGATTACCTACATAACGATTTAATAGTTCATTAAGTGAATAAATAGTTTTTTTTTTGAAAAAATGCTACGTTTTTCATTATGGACAGCCTCTGGACGGAAAGCTACAAATATACTCGAACCATATAAAAACTCTTGCTATATCAGGTTACATCGGTCTGGCAGCTATATGTAGTATTTTAACTGAAAAAAAGTAAAAAATATAATAAATATCTGAAATAGTTATTTGTTAAGCAAGGTTGCAAAGGTACTTTTTGGCGCGAGAACTTATATTGAAACCTGAGCAAGACAAAAATTCTATTGTAATACATAAAAATACAGATTATCCAAAAAAAAATCACAGGGTACAAGACGCAGAATAACTTCTCACCAAACTACGGCAAGGAAAATGCTAGCTACAGAAAACAATAATTTAAAAAAGAGGTTGATGCACTGGCATAAAATTAGAATTAAATCTATTTTCAGTCAACAGAGTTATTAAAAAAAAACAAAGATTACATTTTCAAGAAGTCTTTTCACCATAGGAAAATGTTTTTGTAATCAGATTTTGAGAATCAAAACAAAAACTTTCCAACTTTCCGAGCTTGTGAGGTAACAATATTAGATTGTATACTAAGGGAACAAAGTTTTTCTTTATAAGAGTTCCTCAGTACCGGCGAGGAATTATTCGTGTAGTAGCGCTCATTGCTCTATCATCCTTACGCTGTATTGAAAGGGCTCATATTCTAAAATAAGTCTATGTCCAATACGTTCGTGGTTTTGGTTCGAGAGCGTTCGTGACAATATTTTCATACCTTTTGTTTGTATTCCTAATACTAGAACAACTCTGTTGATATTTTTTTTTATTTTGATAGGATTATGTTAAAGCAAGTTGCTCTCCTCTGAATCTGCCCTAAATAGGTTCAACAAACATAAAGCAAATATTACTAGAAAAAATTCCACGCGAACCAGACGGCAGCAGACGGGACGCCTGGTTCTCGTGGATTTTTTTCTAGTAATAATTTCTTTAGATTTAATCATCGAGCAGTTACATGCTTAAAAAAAATACGGGTGGCACTCGGGGACTGCCGCGGTAAAGCTATTGCATAGCATTTTTTATCAACTTATGCAATTTTAATTATTTATTTATTTTATTTATGCAGTATTTTTTTTATCTTATATATTAATCTCTTTTTTTCTTTGATATTAATAGATGACGAGGCAGGCCTTATGATATTTTATTGGGCAAGCACAGCAAACGACAGCATTTCCCAGCGCTAAAATACTTCCACGAGCAGTTTATTGTCCACAGTTTACCATCTTTAGTCCAAAAATTTAAATTATAATTATAAAGTCTAAATAAAAGGGAGACAAATAAAAATAAGAACAGGTGCTGGGGTCTAAAACAAATATTAAAAAAAAGGAAAAATAAAATAAAAAAAAGAGTGCGGGATTTGAACCGACGGCCGCGGTGACGCGTCGAAAGTTGGTCCCGTGGTAAAAATTCGAGACACTGCGCCGTTTAGATCGATACTGGTTTGACGAAAATTGTGTTCTATTGGTATATGAACTCTCGTAAGGTTTTTCTCGTTACAGAATTTCTTAATTCGGCCGCCGCGCTATAAAAGCTATACAATAGCTTAAAACTAAAATTAAAACTAAAACAAATATGTTAAACAAGTTTTGAACTTTGTCTTGATTTATAATCGAAACACATACCCAATTTGTTTCTTTATTTTTATGATACTTTTATGTGATCACTTTTTTCACCACTCTCGTAGCGTCTCCACATTTTGTTGTAAAGGTCTTCTAAGCCTCGAGCGTAATGTTCACAGTCAAACAGCGTGCTATCTAAACGCGCTTTTGATACTTTCGCTTTGATATATCTAAGGCTGTAAACAAAGATATTATAAAGATTAATAAATAACCTTCGAAGGGTTACTATCAAATTTGCTGTACGGCGTAAAACATTCCCTAGAAAACCTCTTTCTGCAATCGGACTATCATAAGATTGTATCAACATTCAACAAACATAAATTAAACAACAAAAATAAATTATTATTTTCAAATGAAAACGGTAATTTAAAGAAATGATATTATGCATTTATTTAATAACCTCCACGTGATTATTAGAATGCAACACATTTCGTTATAAAAGGAGGCAAATTTTCTTTTTTCAAAATGAACATTGGGGGAGAGCGTTACTTACTATTTTGCATTGATTCCAAGCTTAACAGCTATGTCCTGGTAATCCTGCTTATCTTTTGCTACAAGCTCAGCACATTCCAATGTTTTAAGTTGGGATGCAGCAACTCTGTAATAGGAAATTATAAGAAAATTTAATTATCAGTAAATTTTTCGTCTTTTTATGACAACACACACACTCTCTTTTTTTTAACAAACTTTTTATTATTATCATCATCGCAAGTCTTGTAATGTCCTCAGGACTATAAAAGCTTATGGAGTTAAATCTCTTAAGGAGATTTGATCATAACTCAGTGTAGTGGCTTTGATAGATTTATTTGTGACAGACCTAATGCTTTCTTTATATTTTGTTCGTAGTTTCTACTATATGGTAAGATTATATGTAACCTTGATGCAAGTGTATCTCCAGGTAGCGTGACAACTGGTGTTCCAGCCCATAGCACGTCCATCGCAGTAGTATGACCATTACAAAGAGGGGTGTCCAAACAAACGTCTGCTAGCTGAGCTCTGCGCACGTGTTCTTCCTTGCACGCGATGTTTGAAAATAATATACGATGAGGTGGAACACCTGAAAACAAACCCGAAAGATTGTGTTAACAACACAGTGATAAAGACTTAATGTCGCCTGAGGCCCATTAGATTTGTCGTGAACTTTATCGTGTCGGTCGTGGTTTACTGTAATCTAACAACTAAACGGCATTAAAAACTGTATAGGTCAGTGTTAGGTGGATGTAGATAACGACCACAAGTTATTAAAGATGCACGTAAAGGCACTGGACGCGTATGTTTCTGTCAGTCATATATAAGTATTCTATAAGTATTTAAAGAAGGGTAAAATAGAATGTTCTATATGCAAACATAAGCGTGAAACTGTTTACGTTGACATCGTACCGTAAACCGAGACAATCCACATGTATTTTCTATCTGAATATTATTATTCTAAATACCAATATTCAAATGCACTAGCAGAAATCTTTAATAATCTCTTAGTAAAAGTATAATTGTTATACTTTTACTTTTTCCAAGATATTATTTTCTGAAGTTAGAATTGGAAAGTGAACGCGGTATTTTTTTTTTGTAAATATGGTTAAATTCGAGTTGTACTCGCTAGCGAATAGTTCCATACTGTTGTATAAAGATATTAGTAAAAGGGCGTTGTGAAAATATTGTATAGGCAACCCTTTCTTAAATTGAATATTTTTTTTAAGATTTAAATAAAGAAATGTCGTTTATTTTCGTCAAATGCCTGGACATAGCGAAATTTTTAGAAGTAAAAATGTCTTTAGATATTTAAATATAGCAGTTTAATGCTTTAAATAATAACATTATAAATATATTATCTCTTATTAAATAAGCAATATTCTACTAATATTCTCCTTCTTATATGTTTGTATATTTATTTTGTTTGTTACTCAATCAAGCAAAAACTACTGAAAGGATTTGAATGCAATTTGGATTGAGACAAAGGATACTTTTATACCGAAAAAATGTTAAGTTCCTGTGGGACTTTCAAAAAAACTTAAGTTAACGCGGACGATGTCGCGGGCGGCCGCTAGTTATATTTTATAGGTAACTTCATCACTTTAGATTAATGACATACTGTTCGGTGACGGAAGATTAAACAGATAAGATTTAATAAAGTACCGTTTTCATCCTATGGTTGGTTACGGAATCATAAAAGAAGTGGCAAAAAAGATTATATCCAATCATAAAATTGTAAAATGACTACAATATACTATGTCCTTGTTTGTTTGTGTTTCTCTTTTTATTCAACACAAAGTCTAGCAACGTTGATCCCGTTTTTCTCCACTGCAAGCGCAAGTTAGTGTTCATTAATTTTTATTTTTCAAATAACAGCTTTCTTTTTACAAGCTGGATTGAAAATTAAATAAAACCTTTGATAAATTACCTCCTTGGTTGACCTGTTTCGGAGTAAAACATCGTTCCATTTTTAAATTAATCGACAGATATGAGTTTACTGTGTAATTTATTTAGCCTCTAACCATGACAGATAAGGATTTTCATACAACTATTGCTATTGTTTTTTAATATCATGATGAATAAAAACCGACTTCAAAATCAGGTGGTCCTATTAGGATTTCAAAGTCGGGTGATGTCAAGAAACACGTATACCGATAGGAATTAAAATTTATATTCCAAGTTTAAATCTTGGCCCCGCATGATATCCTCATCATACTAGGGCCCACCCGAGTTCATTTGTACCGGAATGTATTATTTACTATTATTCCATTTTTGATGTAGAAGTCGGCCTTTTTTTTATTGTTTTCAAATTTTAACTTCAAAAGAGAATATTTCATATATGTCGACATCAATCAGACTACAGTAAGTACATATGTTACATACCTGATTCCTGTGCGTATTTGTGTATGTGCGGTTTTCCCGCAGCAGGGAAATTTAACAGCCACAAAATACTGTTTGGTACCAGTTTCAAAATATTCAACCAGATATCCATGACTGATGGGTCAATTTTATATAATTGATTGAAATTACAATAAATTATTGCATTTTCTGGAAGTGCGTATTGCTTTCTTGAAGTATATATTATGGAATTTAGTTTCACTTCACCCGTTGCAACTTTTTTGTTCTCTTCATTTATAGATATACCATTGTCAATGGTCACATCATTTACAAGAACCTTGAACAAAAATATTTATTACAAATTCAGTACCATCTAAGAGGAGGGTTTGGGTAAAACTGTATTGAATTACGCATGTAACGTGCGAAATATTATTATACACCTTTCGCATAACAATGAATTACAGGTATGATGGTTATCTGCCTTTTGTATGTTCAAAATAAATTAATTATACATACTGTGAATTTACTATGCGTAGGAAATGTGAAAGGTGTTTTAAAACTAAGAAACTGTTTTTAGCAGGCAACACACAGACTCTTCTCATACCCAACGGAAAAAAAACTAATCAGTCACCTCCACACATTTCGGATTCCATAACGAATCAACTAAATGATTTGGAATGTTTATATTTCTTATGAAAACTTCTATCGGTGGATATAATCCAAATTCAATAAATTCTTTTCTTTCATCGACATCAAGCGATTTTCCAATTTCAATGTTTTCAGCACAATTAATAAATGCCGTACAAATATTACTACTTGCAGAGTTTGAATTAACTTTATATTGTTTTTTCAAATGCGGAAACATTTGTTTATGATCTCCAATGAAGTAGGTATGGGTCATGTAAGCAAACTTTTCCGTGAAATCTGATGACGTCGAAAGCGGAGAAGATGTTACATCAGTTATGAGATAATCCATGTAATCTGCTCCACTGGTCCCTGGGTATCCAAGCCACATAACTTGGATTGCTGCAGGTTTCAACGCAAATATTTCATTTCTAGCGCCTTTCGTATAACCATTCATATTAACTAATATATTAATTTCGTCCCTGTTTATGATTTCTGCAGCTTCAAAATTGTTAGTCACTTTTGATAAATCAATAAAATGTTCACTTTCATTCACTATCTTACTGCGGAATGTGGTGCCGTCATTTGGATTTAGAGCGTAGCAAAATATTTCTACTTTGGTCCTATCGTGTAAACCTGGAATAGACTGCATTAGATGTGACGTTGGATGATTACCAAAGTCACTACTAACGTAACCAATACGCAATCGTTTTGTTAAAATCTTTGAATGTTCAAATATAACTCTATGAAACATATTTATCTTTTCGATATATAAATTAGCATGTCTTTTGGCAATTTCTCTCCTCGCGGTATTGGACACTGGGTATAGTATGGAATGATGTGGATGTACAGAAGTTAATTTGTCACTCTTCAATTGGTCTTCTACAATCGCAATTATTTTATTCATTCTCTCATCATAATAATTCCAATCACATATTATTTGCAAACAGTGCACTAAATTGCAATAAGCATCAGGAAAATCTGGTTTCAATTCTAAAGCAATTTTATACGATTCAATAGCTTCGACGATGTTTCCCATATCTTTATATATGCTGGCTAAATTACAGTGGGCATCAGCGAAATATGGGTTTATTTCTATCGCTTTTCTAAAACACAACATTGCTCCGGTAACATCTTGCAACTCTCTTAGCGTATTTCCCATATTACTAAAGGCATCAGCGAACTTTGGTTGAATATTTATAGCTTGCCTGTAATGTATCAGCGCCTTGCGAAGTTTGCCTGTAATAACGATATTGTGACCTTAAAATAACTTGCAAATTATATATGCTTACTAATGTCTTAACTTTATTACTTATAACATTATTTTTATAAAAGAACAAATTAATAGTTATTGTTTAACTGCTTATTGATTAACTGATTAATAATGATTTAACATAGAGTATACTCTGTAGCCAAAAATATTCTATCAATCTATTTTTTTATGTAGAAACATGCATTTCAATGTCCAGGAAAATATAACATTAGACAAAATAAATATACAATTTACCTTGCTGCTGCAAAAGTGAAGCGTAGTTGCTATGCGTTGCCGCGAAATTTGGAAACACTTCTAAAGCTCTCTTGTACAATTTTGTTGCTTCTTCAATATTGCCTTGTTCTCTTTTAACGTTACCGAGGTTGTTGAGAGTATCAACATGCGAGGGACATAAATGTAACGCCATGTTATAGCATTCCTCAGCTTCTGATACGAGTCCCTTTTCCTTAAGTGCATTAGCTAGATTGCAGTAGGCGTCTGGAAAGTCAGGCTGAAGTTCTATGGCCCGTCGGTATGTCTCTATAGCTAGGTCAATGAATCCCTGTTTGTAGTATGTGCAAGCTAAGTTGCCTTGAAGCACTCCACTGGTGGATGTTAATTTTAATGACTGTAGGTACACTGCTACCGCCCTGGAAAGAAATACAATCATAATTTTAATATGAGTGGAAGTAGTTTCTATAAAATTTTTGACGGCTACTATTTATGTTCAAAGTTTTTTTTTTATTACGACGATTAGAGCTTGGTTGTCAGAATAGCAAATAATACCTAAATTATTAAATGAATTGCAACATTTTTTTTAAGGTGAAACGTTACGTAAGTCAGTTTTTAGGTAGGTATATAAATAAAAGAAACACAATGTTGTTTGCTATTATGAAAGAAAAGTCGTAACTTAAAAAGACAATATTATAAAGAAACAGAAAAGTATAAGATGGTCTAATACATAAAGAGTTCGATACCATTGTACAGACAGAAATAGGTCAAATTGACCAAAACTGTAAATTTTCTCCTGGCCATTTTGAGCTGATCATAATCGTTTAGAAACTTGTGCATTTTGCTGTAAATTGAAGTGTGGCTGACGATTCAATGTTAACCACTATGAACTTATATAGCTATTCAAAAATGCCCAAAAATATCAAATACCCTTTTAAATTAGGGGCTCCCCTTTCATTGTATAAATTAAAACTCTGTCAATAAAATATTGATTCCTTGAATACGTCAATAGCAATATAAGTTAACCGTCTTAGGTATTTGTGCAGAATCCAATCCTAGATTCCCGTCTGCTTTATGTTCCCTTCAACTTGTAACGATTGAAACTATTCGATTAAACAGATTAGACGGGCTTTACAACACGTCTGCCAATTATCTGAGTAGTATCTTGTTTAGGCGCCATCGTTTGATACATAGTTAAAAGTGACTGTAGTGAAAATACCTTAGTAAAAAATATTGGTTGTCTATAAAGTCGGTTTAAGGACAATAATTTAACGTGTCGTTCGCTGTTTTCATCGGGGGAGTTTTGTGGGGCTTTTTGTTTCGGTTCGTTTGAGCTCAAGCACGCCTCTGTAGCTCTATGGGGCCCGAGTAGGATTCAGCAGGGGTTAGGTACTGGGGGTTTTCTGGAGGGCTTTGGGGGAGGAAAGAGGGTCAGGGGGGGAGGGAGAATTCGAAAGAACCCCTCGACCTCGATACACACCGCGGAATACTGAACTAATTCGTGTCTCGTGACATGACGTCACACAATGTGACTGACGTAACACTTTTTCGTGCTTGCAGCCGGTGTTCATCGATCTTCACATAAGATGTTATCACGTCAATACCCATTTGTCAAAATTCTACACATTTTACTACGTATTTGACTTGGCATTAACTAATAGTCAAAGATGTATCAAACAATGCGGCTTTACTCGCAATATTTTATCAGAACGCATTGCAGTGGTATTGACTTGTCGATTGCATTAAGCTTTACCACCCACGGGACTCTGTATGTAGGCATAAATGGCTACGTATTCATCAGCATATTTGCAAGAAATCATTTTTCTTTTATGAGGTTTGGTAACTAGCTATTGACAATAATAAAACCCATATTTTCAGCTTCAGCTGTCGTTTCGCCCGTCCATCCGTCAAAAGGGAATTGAATAAATATGCAGTAAAGCGTATATTTCTATTATTGTAACAACAAATAGATTTCGAAATGGAATAAAAGGCGGTCATTTGATTTTCTGCGCTATAAACCTTATTCTATGATGGATGGAACTGAAAGTTACAAGTGGTCTTGTTGTGTTCTTTATTTTTGGAAACTTATCATTGTTGACCAAGTTCTTTTAAAAATTCTACTATTGGAGGAATAATATTTTTCCTCCATAAAGTAGATTTTTTAAAAGACGCCAATTTCATATGCAAGAAGTCCTTACATATGAAATTGGCCTTTTGTACGGGAGGAATATAAAGTATTTTTTTTGTAAAATGTATTTAATTAATTTTTTGTTATGCACCGTTGTTATCTATGCACTTTTGCCATCTCATAGGTACTTCATTGACCCCTTTACTAAAAAAACCATGGGGGTGAGCATCAATAAACTCTTTGAAGGCGGTTTGGACTGCCGCATCGGAGTTGAATTTTTTTCCTTGTAAAAAGTTGTCCAAATAACGGAAAAAATGATTGTCTAATGGAGCAAGGTCCGGGGAGAACGTTAGATGTCGCAGACATTTCATTTGTAGCTCATCTAACTTAGTGGTTGTTTTTTGTGCAGTGGGTGGTCTGGCGTTGTCATTAAGCAGCAGTGGCCTAGAGTCATTGACCAATTTCGATTGTTTAGCAGCTAATTATTCCTTCCTTCATTGGACCAGATTTTAGAAAGCTGTAGTGAACGATACCGGCGCTAGTCCACCAAACACTCACAAGTAACTTTTTCTGAGTTAATTTTCGTTAAGGGCAGGTTTTGGCTGGGTCCAGGGTTCAGTCATTGCGACGAGCACTTCCGGTTATCGTTCTTTTCGTCAGAAATAAAAATTCATTATTGTGTCGGTTTAGCAAAATAACACAGCAGTCGACGCGTGTTCGCAAGTTCGATTCACTCAATTCAAGAGGTACCCATCGTTCAAGTTTTTGTATTTTCCCAATTTGCTTCAAGTGGATTAACACAGTTTTGTCACTTCTCCCGAAGCCTGCAGCTATCTCCGAAGTGCTTTGTGATGGATCCGCTTCCATAATAGCCTTTCATTCTTCATTTTTCACTTTGGTCTCTGGCCATCCACGGGGTTGGTTCTGAAAGTCGAAAATTCCAGAACGAAAACGTTGAAAGCGTGGTTGAAACCAAAAACGTACCGTGATTTCTTTTGCGACATCAGCGCTGTACACATCATTAATCCTTCGAGCTGTTTCTGCAACACTGTTGCCACGGTAGAACTCGTACTCGTAAATATACCGATATTTCATGTTTTCATTTCATTTACGAAAATTTATTACTTGTAAGAAAAAATATTAATTTGTTTCTTAAAAACAGTGATGTTCACACACTTAATACAAGAAACAAAAATAAACTAACTTTACCTGCTACTAGGCTTCACAAAATCAATAATTCATTTAAAGGTCTTTGTGTTCGCTTATACAATAAAGTCCCAAGCAATATACAAGAGTTAAGCATAAATAAATTCAAAGATAGCATAAAAAAGCACTTATTAAAAAAGCTTATTACAAAGTGTCTGATTATATTACAGACAAAAATGCTTGGGTTTGAACTGTTCCAATCATTCCAACGGGTTTTCTATATTAAATAAATCATGATTGTATTGACGTTGTAACAACATAATGATTTGTAAATGTTGTTACATTATGCTTTTAATGTAGTGGAGCTTTTTCGCTCGTTTTTCTGCGCAGCTAAAAAATATGTCCAATAACGAGTGGTAGGGAAAAAAAATGTTTGGACGATTCAAAAGTGTTGTACTATACATCCAATTTGAATAAAGATATATTGATTTCTGATTTCTGATTTCCATTGTGCGGTAATAAGCGACGCCAAAGAAAAAAATACTGAGGAAAAAGCAAATGAATGACTGTTTTCAAAACTCAAATGTACCAGCTTAATGAATTTATAAATTTGAATTTGGAATTCTTAACCAAAGCGGAGATATTTTTGATCAAAGTGGTCAGTACGACTAAACGCTAATTTCATATGTAAGGACCTAATATTATATTTTATTTGTTTTTTAGTTCAGTTCACAAATTAATTTTATAAGTCAATAGTTGATTTTGGATCCATTTCAGCTACTTTTGTTTTTTTTTACGGTTTGCACAGCTTAAAGACTCATTAAGAAACAGATTAAATATTCGGCCAACTAAAATGTAATGCGTCCATAGTCACTTAATAAAATATCAAATAAATTAAAGTTAAGTAGCATAATGGTAAGTGCATTCGCCCGGATAGCGAAGGGTGCTTTCGAGTCCCGTCTGCTGCCTGGTCTGCGTGGATTTTTTTCTAGCAATATTATCTTTATATTTAAGCATGTAGTAGTTACATGCCTATAAAAATACAAAATATAATTCAAATAAATTAATTATGGCAATTAATGTTTAATAGGGATGATGACTAACTTTCTTTTTTTTTCTTTGTCTATCAGGTGAATCAGAATATCAAAAAGTATTGGACACTCATTTTTTCACATAATCAAAATATTACAGTGATTTCTTTGTTTCGTAGGTCACGCACATCACTCATTACATAAAACAAGTTTCAACGGTTTAAATGCACTGATTTTATTTATTCTGACGACACATTCTTTTTTATTTCGCATCCTTTGAATGCGAAACGTCAATAAATAAATAAAATCAGTGCATCTAACCCGTTGAAACTGGTTTTATTTAGTTTTTTTTTTTTTTATATATTACTAGGTAGGCAAATGACTCTACCCCTCCTGATGTTAAGTGGTGATAAAGTCCAAACGCGAAGATAGCTGGTACAGCAGTTATTAACTGCTACACCAACCATCCTCACCTTGCCGGCCCGCAAAAATGCTTCTTCACGCCTCTCTTAAAGGACCCCAGATTATAGGAAGGAGGGAACACGTGCGCGGGTAAAGAATTCCACTTACGAATAGTACGACAAAGAAATGAGTCGCCAAATTTCTTTGTTCGTGTAGGAATAGTGGCCACAGTAAGTCGATGGCAACGTAGGCCAGCGCGCGTGGTCCTCTGAGGAAAAGGTGATGGAGGGATAAGCAAGAATAGCTCCTCAGAACACTCGCCGTGGTATATTCGGTAGAATGCGCTTAATGATGCCACATCACGGCGTAATTGTAGAGACTCGAGTTTCTTAGTTGCCTCTTCATCGCCAATGATGCGGGCAGCGCGCCGCTGCAACCTATCCAAGCCATCGAGTAAGTACTTTGCGGAGCCATCCCAGAGGTGCGAGCAATATTCCACGCAGGACCGCACTTGTGTTTTGTACAACAAGCACAGTTGATCGGGCGTGAAAAAACGCCGCACCTTGTTCAGGACTCCGAGTTTGCGTGAAGCTGTTTTGATCAACGTTTCGATGTAGTCCTTTGGATTCAGGTCTGAGCGAACTTCCATACCGAGCATGGTAATATTGCTCTGTAGCGCCAGTGTTGTGCCCTGAAGAGAGGGAAGGGGAAG